TTGAGGCGGCAGATAAACTCTACAAAAGGTGGTGGTAGTGGTAAGTGTGCGTGTGTGTGTGTGTGGTGTTGAATAGGAAGGCAAAATAGACTTTAATGGTTGACGTTGATGGCGGAAAACGAAAGTGGGAGTGATCGGAATGATAACTCGGGAGAAAAATGACGGATTGTTCAGGAACTTGAAACGGAGGGCAGAAAGCTACTGGATTCTTCTTATTATCTGAGATGGAGTTGTTTGGAGCAAGGGCCAGGGAAGGCTTGGAGCAGTTCAAGAGCGGGGACGCCGAGTAGTTTGTAGTGATGCTTCCGTCGTCGGGTGGCCAGGGGGAGGGTGTGTGCTTTTTCGCCTGGCTGTCAGTCGCCCATGTCTTGAATGGCGACCTCGACTCAAGGCTGCTGGAAGGAAGGAAGGGGCAGAAGGGAAGGAGGAGTCATGAAGGCAGGTGCTGGGGGACAGTACCCGGCAATACCTCTGGGCCCCGGCTGTTGCCTTCTACAACGGGCATGGATTGTGCAGCAGCAGGGGCACCCAATGTACCGCGGCGTACCGTTGCCCGCGGAGCCTGTCAGAGACGAAGGGACGAGACAGGTAGGTACCCTACTGCTGGCGTGGTACCGGCGCAGATGCATGGCGGCTTGAGACAGTGGCAGCGAGGGAAGAGGAAAGAGTGCGTGATGTGTGTGTGGGCTTGGCTGCATTTCTCTCCAACACGGTGAGGGGCGCAAAGCAATCTTTGGCCAGGCTAGCCTGACCTCCCTTACCACGAAGGGGAAAGTGAGGTAATACTACGGGCCTGCTGGGTTGATCGCACCCACCCTGGTATTTTTTTTAGGCTTGCGGAAGCATCGCAATCGCACCTTGTGGAGGGCAAACGACGTCGGATCACGTCAGGGGTTGTGTAGTGGTTGTCCGCGAATGCCGCGTCCCCAAGGAACAACGCCCATTGTGAAGGCGTTGGGTAGCTACCGATCACCAAGGCCAATTCCTACGTCCACCGTCTGGCTTCGCCTCTGCGACGAATTCCCCGAGCAGCGGCTCGACAATCCTGCGTCCCTATCCCGTCCTACCCATACACCTCCAAGCAATGCAATGCATGCATGCATACATACATGCACAAAGACGGAGGTACCAGAGCAACTGGTACCTACCTCGGTAGGTGGACTAAGCAGTGAATAGCCTCTCCTTTTTGTATCATCATGACTGGGATTGCTCCCTAAGCGTCCCCACCTCTCTTGTCCCTGCCCGGCTCCACCTATCATTTGGGGCCTGCCTTCTACGTAGATGGAGGCGGTATTGGGTACTTGGCTGTTCGCCTTCCAACCATGCTTCTGGGGATCAGGCTGAGCACTCTTGCTATTCCCTTTCGCTCGCCGGGCCTCCTCCAGTGGCTGCAGTAGTCCCCGGCTGCACCGTTGTTTACCTCGCTGTAGCCTGCGGTGCTCAAACCGCCCGGATCCGATCAGTAAACGCACAAATGTGCCGGATAAGTCTCTCAACACGAAATGCGGAACCCCTCTCGGTGATTCTCTGGCAGAGGTACTAGGTACTGGACCCACCGCGTAAAGAGCGCCTGTTATGTCAGAAGGGTGGCTGGGCTGCTCGGCGATTAGCTAAAGTGCAGGTGGGCAGCACGGCCAGTGGCTGCTGGCGGTGCAAGTTTGCCCCCGTGCATGACGCTAGAAGGGCACTAGAAAGAAGTCTCTCTGGCCAGCCGACAGGGATGCAGCAAGGTCAGACCATCAGAGTCTTCTGGAACGCCATCAGTCCGTGCAGCTCGTGCTAGTGCTGGGTTGTGTGCTGCGTCCATGTGTCCATGCCTGAGTCGTTGCACCAGAAGCCCAAGCAGGAGAGAGGCGGCCATGATGTATCCAATGTCTCTTATCGGAAACAGCAGGGAGGGACAGCCGGAAGCTTTGCCCCATGACCACGGCGGCAACCCGAGATCTGTTCATCCGACAAGGGCAGACCTCACTGAAGCCAGTACGGTTTCTTCAGCCCATGCCGCCCGTTGTGTTTTCATCGAATTTTCTCCCATAGCTCATTATGCGGTGTGAACATCATCTGACGTTGAAGCTATTGTCTAGCGTGCAAGGACCCAAAAAACGGACCGGTGAGTCAGTCAAGACGAGGCATCCTGACCGAACACAACTCCATGCTACTCATGCTACTATGTCTCATGTACACAATCGCGAATGGATGAACAATGGAAGCAGGTCTGGATTGGGATATCCTCACACAGGTAGAACCTTTTGGTGCAGTTTCAGATCAGATAATGAATACAACATATACAAAATTATGACCCGCTGATGAACGACACCTGTCCACACAACCAAACAAGCAATATCTACTCCAGCTGCTCTACTCCCCTCCCCACTGAGTCACTTTGTTGTCTTGTTACTCGCTCCTCAATGCGATGTCGCAGCGATGTGTGCAAATGCCGTCTCCGTTGGGGGAGTGATACCCACCAACGAAGAGCCCGGCGTACGTAGATACGAATGGTTGGGTCACAACTTTCAAAACACTGGCCCAGAGCCCAGCTAGAGAGAAGATACGCCCAAGGGGGCCCTTCTTCGAAAATTCGATCCATGGATTCCCCATAATCATGATCGGTCGGTGTGGATGTGAGTCTGAGACAGCGATTGTTCACACGATGACACTTGACAGGGAACCACTCTTTCCCATCCTTTTACGGATCAGGGTTAACCAGTGACATACACGGCCGTGCTGCGATGGATCTCGACAGAAACCATCATGAATAGCCCCGTCACCTAGCAGAGTGCCCCTTGCGCTATGGATTCGCCCATCCGACTCCAAAATTCCCGATCTCAACAGCGCCCTCGAGATACGAAGCACCTCTTTGGATCGCCGGGCGGTGGAATGCAGGAAGGGGTTACACCAACCGCAACATCGCAGACAACATCCAGCTCAGCAGACAAACAACCGACAAGTGCCGGCAGGCTTTCGCAGCAAGGAGGGTCGCATTCTCCGGTTGTACTCGCAACCACCCATGACAAATCTCTCCGCAAGAGACTGCCAGATTGGGCAGCAGGGAAAGGGCGGCAACCGACCAGATGTGTTATTCCTTCCGAGCGAGCTGCAAGAGATACCCCAGCCAATTCAGGGCCCCGGCTGGTGGTCTCTGGGCCATTCACAGCCTCTAGTGCACCCCTCCTTCGGCACTTGAGCCTGGTGCATCACGCGATCTAGAATTGGCGTTGCAGCACGGCGTCATCTCGCGTCCACCAAGGTGTCAATGGTATGATCTGCCTCACGCCATGAGCGGGCGCGACGAGAATGGGAACAAAACGGAGTTTGTAAGCACACCCACGCGCTGGAGGATATCTGGTTCACCCATCTGCCAGCCGCGATGCACCCTTCCAGCATAGTGGTGGGCTCGCGCTCGGCCATGGCATCCCATCCAATAGACGCCGGCGCCAAGCTGTCATCATGATGATGATGACGACGGCGGATGGCACGACAGCGCAGGTTGCCATCCATCCAATGATCCAACCCTCCCGCCTGGGAGAATGGGAAAAAGGGCAAGGGGGTGGTCCAACTGCTTGGGAGCGGCGAATCCCACCGTCGATCTTGCTGCTAATGCTCGTCGGGCGCCCGTCAAAGGACCCAGCGCCAACTCAGCCTCCTCCCGCCGACGCACTTCAATTCGATGGCGATCGCCATTTCGTGGGTGGCCCGATCAGACGCCTGGGTACTACATAATAATTAATCGCCCGCCGCCTGAGGTGGTAGTCGTATAGCAAAGTCGCAGTGCAGCGGGCGCCCGTGCGAGGGGATGGTTCACTTTCATCTTGGTGCCGCCCTGCCATCGAATGCGAATGAATGTGCATGTCGCACATTGCCACCGCTTGGCCATGCTACGTCGCACTTCTGAGAACCGTCTGGAAGCTGGGCCAAGCCACGGCACGTTCTGCTATCCCCTTGTGGGAAGATGGAAGCGAGGTGGCAATTTCTGGAACCCTTCCGCTTTGGGCAACTTTTTATTTTTCCCTTTTTTTTTTTTTCAGCCCTCGCCCTTCCCCCAACAAGCCAAAGCCAAGACGAGGTAAGGTAAAATATTGGCCCGGCCATCTCCGGTTTATCAATCTTATTTTCTTTCTTTTGCCTCCATCGTCATGTCATTGTGGGCCCAACCCCAAGATGCCCCGCCAAACTATCGTGTACAAGATGCAGCCTGACCAAATACAAAATTCTCTTTGCCTGCTTGTGACTGTGCTTTCTCCGCTCGGTTCGTGACAAACACCACCACTGTAGAGTCGCCGGGCAAACCTCACCCCCTCCAAGCACTCAGCCTAATCCTCCCGACACTCAAACGGTCCGAACGACCTGGCCGGTGCATCCACCATGCAAACCATGGCGGCTGTTGTCTAGACTGCCGGGAGCCGCCGCCTTCATTGGCTGTCGGACGACGAGGCGTTACCGTCAACAATGCGCAGTAGGGCAGAGTCGGATCCTACGTCCAATCGCCTTTGCCAAGTGACCATGCAATAAGTCATTGAGAAAACTTTTCAGCGGTGAAACAATTACAAGCAGAGAAGAATTTTTATGATGTGGTAGCATATGGCTCAATGGCCATGATTCTCTTGTCTCATTAAACGCCAAACAATGTACTACACAGCATGCCTATGCTGAAATCTACACACAGCTCTGAGCTTCTCTTTGCGAGCAAACATTCCCTTTTCCTGGTCCTCCAAAAGGCTCTCCTCGGCCTGTAGTCTCACTTCCTGATCCTCTGGCTTGCCAACGCCTAGCAATGCATGCATGGTATCTCTAATGATATGAATCCCTTTTCTTTGCCGATCGCCCCAACTCCTGAAGTCATACATCAACAAGCGAATAATAATCCTAAAGATAAAGCAAGCAGAATACAAAAATACTGAATGTGTAGAAAACTCAACACACAATCATAAGCATAATCCGTAAAATCGTTCTTCTTTTTTTTTTGGGTTGGTTGGTTTGTTTTTGGGTTTTGTTCGGGCTGATCAAAACACTCCTAGGTCGAAATCCCCGCTGAACCCTCGGTTCAGCAACACACTTGCGATTCGCAGGCGCTGAAGGGGCATATCGTCGGTGGAATAAGAGTCAATAGGGTTCAACCCAAGGGCAACGCACATTGCGTTTGTGATTGTATGAACTCCGCAGTCCCATCCATTCGTCTGCCGGGGTGCTTCGTGCTTAACGACAGTCCACTCTTCAGCGACAAATGCGTCCTCTAGAACATCCTTGACCCATGCCAAGGCGAGGTTCGTGTTCGTAGGAGAGCCAACGGGCTTCATGGAGTCCATGTGGGATACGGTGCGTTTAGAAGGCCGGACAACTAGAAGTGTCCAGTGGGAACGCTCGCATATGGGCAGGAGGATAGTATCAATGTCAAGGAAGTTTCGTTTCTCGACGCCATAGCGTCTCAATGTGCGTTGCGTTCGTCCAACCCCCCTTTCCCTCAACTGCTTGAAGAAGAAGGAACTCATAGTCAGGCATTTACGAGTCTGCTTCTTCACATCCTTAATGCCAGCAGCCGAGTTGATTGCCTGGTCAAGCCACATCAGTGAGCCGTTTACGATCTCGTCGTTGAGCCACTCAGTCTCCGGAACAACCTTGGCAAAGTCATGCCGCCTGAGGTCAATACCCTCAACGGTCGTGGTGAGCGAGGTAGTTGGTGCTGAGGTCAGCGTGTCATGGACCCTTCGGTTCCAGTCTCCAGATAATTTCGGCACAAACTTTTGTCGGGGGACACGAAGGCCACCAGTCAGAGCCAGGCGAGCTTCCAATTCAATTCGGGCTTTCTCAGCCGCAGCCCGTTCTGCCGCCTCAGCTGCTTCCGCTGCGATTCTAGCTTCCTCTTCCCGTTTCTGTGCGAGAGCAGAAGTAGCAACATCGCTCAACTGTAGGGATAGCGGGCCTGGATCTCTAAAAAGGGCATCGAGACTGGGGAACGTTTTCTGCTCTATTCCGGCAAAAGGTTCAAAAGGTTCTTTCTTGTAAGCTGCGGTAGGTGGTGGCACAGCCAAGGGTTGGTAGTAAGAACGCCAATAGATAGGCGAAGAAGTTGGTGAGGGTGAGTCCCTGTTCATGGACCGAGCTGGACGAACATTTGAGAACCGAATGCCCTCCTTGGAGATGCGTAATGTGCGGCCAGGTTCCTTGAGCCTCGCAATACCACTTCTAATGTGTGTGCGAGGCGGTGGGGAAAGTGTGCTAACAGAAAAACGAGCATGTTTGGGTGGTCTAAGTGCCTTCAAGCGCTTTGGCGTATCTCTTGAAGGGTGTTTACGACGAGTCCTAAGGATCGAGCTTAAGTCTTGCTGATCTCTCATTGGGACCCGAGGGGTAAAGTTTGTGACATATTGTGATTTAATAGCACGAGAGACATCGCGCTCGGCCTCGTCGCGCTTTCCTCGATTCCAAACGGACCAATGGTGCTGCGTCCAAGCTTGGAGACGAGCTCTCTTGCTTGTGTCGTAAGCCCTTGAGACGACCGGTTGTGGGGGGGATTGTTTTGCTTCTGAAGGGGCTGTGACTGGCCTTTCTACCTTTTGCACGGGTTCCGGTAGATTCGGGACCTCAGATGGAGCACTCGTCGGGCGGGGTGTGCTTCGCGTTAATTCATTTGGGAACGTGCCAGGCATTTCCTGGGCGAGAGGTGCACGAGCTGGTGTCGGAAATCTCGTTCTCATTTCTTTGAGATAGTCTGGTGAGTCGAGGTAGCTTGGTGGTATAAGCCCTTCAAAGATGGCATTGATGTCCAGAAGAAAGCGATCAATAAAGAACATGGTAGCATCATCGAGAGTGGTTGGATGATCGTCTTTGTAATTGTCCGTCAGACCGGCTAAGACGTAGGAGATAGATTGAAACGAGAAAACGGATCTGATATGGGACAGGATGTCTAAATCCAGAGAGGAAAATCCAAGGTCCAAGCGTGGGTGGAGAGTCGGACCATGAGAAGCTTTCAGTTCGGAAATCTTGCGTTTATCGTACACTCTGGGTAGAATTTCGAGAAGCTGCTCAAGGAATAGAGTATACAGGCAAGAGTGACTCCGAGGCAAGATTTTGCCACACATGATAGGGGTAGGGTTGCCGATTGAACCAGCAAGTAGAGTGCCAATTGGTCGTAGTTTGTCGTTGAAGTAGTCTCGCACGCCGGGCTTCGGATCCAGATCCAACCGAAAGAAATGACAGGCCACGCGACAGAATCTGGTGCAACTATTCTCGACACTTGCAAGTTCTTCGTCGGAGGCCCATTGGACTTCGCCTTCGTAGTCTTTGGGCTGGTCAAGCTTTCGTCGTTTGTTGACAACATTGCCATCAGGTCTTTCCTCGCGAGTCTCGACGACTTCGACGACTTCGACGACTTCTTGGGCAGGATTTGAGACTAAAGCGCATGTTAGTGTGGAGATTATGGAGGGTTTCCAACCCAAGATTAGTGAGGAAGCCAACATACTGTAACGCGTGACTGTCTGGCGAAAGCCAGTAAAGGCATGCGCCACACTAGAAAACATATTGAAGACCGATCGTACTAGTCCTGTTGGTTCCTGTGATCTGGTTAGCATCTTTAGAATCACAGGCGAATGCTATTTTACCTACAGCGTGCATAGCGACGTCAGGGACGTCGTCTTCGGGGATGGGGACGTTGTCTTGGAAGCGATCTGGATAAAGATCGATGGGTTTGCCGGAAAAAATGGCATGCAATGTGCCAGCGGCTAAGTCCACCTCGGTTGTTGACGCTCGACGCTTTCGTCGAATTGGCACATGAGGGATAGCGGATTCGTCGTTATGCGGGGTGTGGTCCAAGATATTGTGTGGGCGTTTCTTCAATCGCCAGTGACGGTTGGGATACGGGCCGGATGTTTCCCTAAGCTCCAGGCGGGAGAGACGGGAGAGCTTCTCGAGGTCCTCAGCGGGATATATATCGTCTACAAGAAATGGCTGGTTGGGGCGTCCCTGGCGGATTCTAGGCGGCGAAGTAACGAACTCAACGGACGGCTGGGTTTCGCGTCGGACTGCCCCTCGGGCTGCAACAGCAGCTGACTGCACGCCTCGTCGACCAAAGCGCGTGAGGTATTCGGTTCTAGTCTTTTGGTCTTGACTGATGCGCTCCTGAATGCTGGTGCTAAATCTCCTTTGGCGGCGGGGCGTAAGCCGGGCCTGAACGTGGGCAATTCTATCAGGCTTGGGGTAGGCCGATGTGGTGTTAGCTAAATGCACGTGAAGCTCACGGCGCTTCTGTGAGAACGACATGGCGCGCGAGAGATGTTGGAAAATTGGTTGGGTGAAATGGAATGTGAGTAGAGTGTGGAAATCAAGAGATGAAAGTCGACGTGTGAAACGTTGAAGATTGTTTGGTGATGTTTGTTCTTACAGAAATTGCGTTGGAAGAAGACGCAGATGATGGAGAAAAGAAGAAGCGAGAGAGGGCGTGGGCGGTCGCGTCTTAAATTGTAAACAATGGGCTGGAGTGATCTGAATGCGCGGGGCGGATAGGCTTTGGCACACGCAATGGGTGGCGTGCAGGTGTTGGCAGCTGGCAGCTGGCTGATGCTGGCGACGACGCGGCAGTACATGTAAAGGACTGAATCGGGCGGAGGATAAAAGCTTCGGACCAGGAACGGAACTTTAGCTTTGCGCCGGCAGAACACCGGCTATCCGCTTGTATCCGCTAACCGTCCCCTGTAGCTCGCTGTTGGGGCTCTGGGGGTGGGGCAACCGGGCGCAGAAGCTTTATTATTCGCCTGCTGTGGCTGTACTAACCTTTGCGTGTGTGCTACGCCATCATGTAGCCTCAGAGTATCTTCTGGTCATGCACCGCTGCTTGATGACTCGAACAATAGCTGCCTGAATTTTGTCTTCCGGTCAATAGGGCATCTCAGTTCGGGTAGGTTCTATTGTCTACTGATTCCCATGCCCATACGCCATTAAGGTTCCAACTCAATGAGCAAACACCGCGCATGACGTCGGTGGTGATGCCAGCCCGCAGCCGTGCGCTCTACCCGTCAACGGGATCCGGCATAGTGCAGTCTAAAGAAACTTTCTGTGTAGCTTAACGAGTGCCTGGTATTGAGCTTCTTGTTAGGTGTATATATGAGATGTACAGGCAGCCACGTCGGCCTATTCTCGACTACCTTCCAATGAGAGAGCAGGTGACAGTGGCTTTTTGTAATATCCGTCCCACGCATTATTCGCATGGTGACAGTTCAGTAGGAAATGCATGTTGTTCTGTATTTGATTTCTTCACAGGCCCTATGGAGCCTACTTAGAGCACTCAGTCGCCTTTTCCAGTGCCAGCTGGCCTTCCTCGCCGCTATCCAGTGGTCTGGCTGGCGCTATAGCGACTTGAGCCTCCGTGCGGCCGACGGCAGCTGGCAGCCTTTTACCAGGCAACGTAAACAATAAACAAACAATTGTATGTTCATGTTAACAGGACGACGCCAGAGTTCGTCTCTGGCAGCGAAGACGTTAATCTAGGCTACTCTACACCGGCTCGCTCTCATGCGCATCGAGGTTTTGACTTCTTCCTTGGACTACAAATGCTTTGCACATCATCTCCCTTCGCGAGCCAACTTATTGAGGATCTCTCTTTCAGATCTTCAGTTTTTGTTACGTGCCGTCCGATCTAATGGGTCCTCAACAGCAGAGACAGGAAAGGAATCGCTACTCCGATCCCTCAAATGCCTCCTTAACACCCCTAGAGAACAGTTACAACCACACTGCCTCTTCTCCCTCTTGCGCAAGAACCCACTCTCTATCTCCCCGAAAACGAAATCTCAAGCAGCCACTCCATATCCGGATGAACTTGACCGAAACTCAAGTGAACAAAATCACCGACGCGTGAGTTGTTTCAGTTTCTGTTGCTCCTTCCTGCGAACTCTAAGATCTTCAAAAGAGCTATCAATCCAGAATATGAAATAAGATGGAATACTGACTCGGATTCTTTGATCAAGGTTTTCTACCAAAATCAGCACCAGCCCTATCCGGTCGCAGCACCAGGAAAGCACATATAGGTCATCAAACAACCTCAAACAGCATCCATGCTCGGACAATAAGAGCATCCATGCTCCAGCTTCTGCGTCTACAACATTCTCCGACCTCATGCCTCGGCCAGACTTCACGCGTCTGACCGATACTCCCAACTTAGCGGAGCGAAGACAAAGATCGACACCAACACCAGTGCGGGTGGGAGAAAACAAGCCGAGGATGGAGAAGAATATCCCCAATCGGCCTGTGCCAGAGGCCGCACCCTATCCCGTATCCCCCCTCAGTCCGATGGAAATGTATGAGGCTAGTGACATGAGAGTCAGCGATTATTCTAGCGGGCAGCATATCACTTCACCCTCAAGGCCAGATCCGCTCAGACTTCGAGCGGATGCAGACTATCAAGAAGCCGTGCCTGGCAATGGCAACGTGATGGGTATGTATGACTCGTTGGTACAGCACCTACCGGAAGTGCCTCGCGGGCATGGACACCAGCCACAGCGATCCAAAAGCACTCTCGACGGGTTTAGTCGTGGAGACAATTCCAGTTCTTATTCTCGCTCGCCCCAGAAGGGAGCATCCAATTCTCGAGAAGTGAATGATAGCCCGCCTTTTTCCCCATTCCCTTTCTATTATCGTGAAAAGGGTATCCCCGTTGAGAAAAGAGGAGGGAAGACGATGATTGGGGAAGGAGGTTGGTTGGAGCGGACAGATGTCAAGCCAGACACGGTGGGCCAGGGTGCGAAGAAACCAGGGATCCTGGATGGGATCAAGAAAATGGCCAAAGACATTGTAAGATTCTCGAAACCGACAACGAAAAGCCAACATTGCAGTTTGCTAACATGATTACAGTCCGAGTTCCACCATTCTGGGCGGCGGTCCAAGAAAGTTCCAGGCACCCAGATGGCCGTTTCTCTTGATGCGAGAGAGCAGAGTCTATTGTATTGTGAATTAGAGTTCCATCTTACCAATTCTATCAATGGCTACATTGCAGGCGAGCTGGGCAAGGGTCGTTTGGATACGGACAAGCTGAAGAAAATCAGTGATGCTTGGCTCCAGCAAGGCCGTCCAAAGGTCGTCGGCTTTCGATACGATCTAGAAACACAGCTCGATCTAGTCAACTTACACATTGACGAGTTTGTCTTCCATGGGCGTCGTCAAGGTAATCCAGCAGAGATTGTAGGTCTTCTACATTCGATGAAGACGAATGCCCGAGCTATGAGGGTGCGGACCTTCTGCCATCCAGACGCAGTCATTGCGAGACAGCTCGTGGATACCCAGTCGTTGTTCAATCTCCTTGGTGTAAGTAAGAGTGAGCACATGGCACTTGCCGAGATTGGACAATTCTTCAAAGCCTGCATTGAGAGAGAAGATCAAGTGAGCAGATGAGCAATAGCCAGACACTACGGATCATGTGATTGAGAAAGGGGTGGGTGAGTGGGGGTTCGAGCTACTTCCTAGTGATTGGTAAATGGAGGAAGAATCACAATTATGAGTAGTAATGATGATTCTTCGATAAGATCAGGTGCTTATATGAGAGCCTGGGTGGCAGGGTCTTCACCCAAGCATCACAGAACTCACAATAAGGGAATACCAGGCTTGATACAGTGTGGCAAGATCGTTGTAAAGATCTTTGTAATGTATAATAGAGGTCCATAGTTAAACAATTTCAACTGAGAACAAAATTCTCCTCTGGCTCGTCAGTCAGTCTGTTCCATTCGGCTTTAAGCTGCTCGTTCTCCTACTCCAGGTCCACGAGTTCGGCATCTCGCTTGTTTCTCACTACCTAGTTTCAGCAACTACATCTCTTTGAGCAGCTGTCTGATTATTCTCGCCAACTCTATAATGTTTCCAAAGTGAATAAGTATATTTTGGATAATATGGTATACTACTATTCCAACGACAAGAGCAGACTTACTACCAGCTATTAGATGTTACATAAGCGATGGATGAATTGTGTGTAATTGGCTTGATTTATCTCAGCGACTACAACAAACGCGTGAAGTTCAAGCGTTAAATAGAGGTCGACATCATCGTAGGCTTCAAAGAGAGACGAAATATCTGAGACATCATGAGGACAATTGAGGCCCTGGGCGAGGACAGACGAAGAATATGTGCCGAACGCCTATCTCGGAAACGAGGATACAGAGCCAACGAATACCTCTGAGTGTGACGCACCATCGAAGCAATGGTCCCCAAGAAAACAATATAACTAAGAGTAGTAGCGAAAATGAATCATTCTAGCACTATTAAGTGAGTAGATGGGGAAGATAATGTGTAATCACGACATAATAAGCAGCTGGATCGCTGGAAGAAGATCGCATTTGCCTTGGGCGAATGGACTCAAGATAAGCTCGGGGGTTCGATGCCATGCTCCCACTAAGTTGGTTCACTCATTATATATACTATACAAAGGCATGATGGTATCACGAGCCAATTATTCCACTCCATTAGTTCCAGGGCACTACTAAGACCGAAAACTGGGCTCGCAGGATCACAATGAGTTATCAACAAGTGGACATTGGATTTGAGATACCAAACCATCACTCAGCTTATCTTTATCCTGTAGCCAGTATGCCGGATCTCTATAAAGAAGCTGCTTATTATTTCGTATATAATCATGATACACACTACCGGCTCATACCCGAGGCACCCAGCGATTCAATCCAAATTGTTTAATTCTCAGTAGTGGTTTTTATCCCCTCTGCGGCAAGAGCTCGGGCATAATCTGCCTTGGCTTTCTCGAGAGCATCCAGCGTCGGCTGCATCAACTTGAGGACAGCATCCCGCCCACCGCCAACCATATCGGCTTTCCAACGAATCTTCTTGCCCGTTCGCTCGTAGTGATCTCTTATCTCTTGTTTCCGTCTTTTGATAGTCTCCTCCCGTTCTTGTGTGGCCTCATCAGCTACGGCAGAGATACGGGAGGCCGAATTACTCAGGGATTCCGCAAGGTATTGAAGTTCGGCTGCACGGTCTGGGTCGCCAGAAAGAAATGCTGTCCAGAATTGATGAAGAAATTCGATCGTCGTTGCATGAGTCAACGCGCATTTCTCGGCTAATTGAGATGATAAGCCCATGGGCGTAGTCAAGTCACCAGCATGGCCATATTTCTGGGAGCGTTGCTGGCTAATGCCCTTAAGGATTTCCTTCTCCGCAGCCCGAATAACAGATCGCGAGCCTACATGAGGACGCCGTGCACGGGTTGCGTTTTCTTCCTCGTCACTATCACTATCCTCGTTGTAGCCAATGGTGGCGTGAATATCAATGCCCCCAGCTCCGTCATCGTCCAGAGTCTCTAGATCACCCTGTATTTCGAAAAGGACATCCATGGGATTCTGCTTCGCAAACGCCTGCGCGTTGGCAGAAGGAGCGGCTTCTCGCTTGGAAAAAAATTGGGTTTGCTCAGTGACGTTCAAAATGATGCGGTGTTCCTTCTGGTCTCCTCTTAGATCGCGGAGTGCAAGTTGGCCGTATGAGTATCCTGAGACGTTTGCGTCATCAATGGTGTCCGACGGTGCCACGTTTGCCATTATCTTCTCGCTAAGGCTATTCAATGTCTTGACGATTGGAATATTTGCCCGGGGACGCATCTCCACATCTTTAGCATTGCCACTCTTGACACCTCCCTGATTCTCCTCATTGCCCTCAATATCAATGATATGGGGCACGCTCTGAGCCATGATCTTGCTCTGGATCGCTTGTGTATTGTCGTTTGCATCGAATTTATCAAATAGCGCGTCGGGAGGGTCGCTATCCGTCACCCTTTCACCTCGTAGTTTCTTGGATAGCCGGCTGAGAAAGAACCGAGACCAGAACTGGGCCTCAGAAAGCTTGGGTACATTTTCATTATAAATCCGTTTAACAAGTGGATGTTGGGCGAATATCATTTGGACTTGCTCAAGACTTATGTTGAGCTTCAGCTCACCATCCACAGTCCGAGGCTTAACAGTCGATAGGACGTTATATGCACCCTTCTTTTGATGCTTTTCAATGCCATGAGATCGCAAGAGGTTTATGCGAGTGGACCAGAATTGCGTGTTGAAAGCGGCACTCGAAATAGAATCTGGTTTGGTTGACATGGCCTCCATGTATGTCCTGTGAAGGCTCTTATCCTTTTTCATCAAAGACATCTGGAGCTCGATGTCATTCTTCAAATGGTTATCATCAAACCAGTGTGCAGCCGCCGGCTGAGGAGTCGTAGTGCTTCCAAGAGCCATAGATGCAGGCGTGCCGCCTTTACTAGCTTGCCCATTTTGGGCTGATGGTGTCCCTGCTGCCGACACAGCTGGCCTAGGAATGCTCGGATCATTGCTTCGAAGTTCGACAAAGATGCGTGAAAGGAGGTCCTTCACGGCCTGGGCTTCAGACTTAGCCTCTGGTGTGTTGAAATGAAATAGATAAGCAACTGGATCAGCCCCTTCAGATGCAGTCTCTACGATCTTGAGCATCACCTTTGGGGAGCTATCCGGAGTTTGCTGCAGACCTTTTGGAGGAAACACGTTAGCCGGGAGTGCCCTACAAACGCTTGCTTCAATCTTGGGGTTGAGCATCTACTTGTGATATTTGCAACAGGAAGTGAGACCGTTGCTGGTCCGCCCGAGTTGGGAGTCCATGTGACGGTCTTCTGATCGGGGGTCAGCGTGAGGATGCCTTCCTTCTTTTTGAACAAAGTTCGCCCGGCCGGGATGTCCATGTTGAGATGACGCGAACAAAGCGGACGATTGGCGAGGGAATGGAATAGGTTGGAGTAGCTAGCCGGCTATCTCCTGGCTGCCTGGTGGCGTTGGCCTAATAGGTAATACGCATCACAATAGCTATATGGCAAAGAACACGCACGCGACGTCAGGTTTGTACGAACGCTCCAGACCACTCCACCTCGGCGAGGAAGAAGAGATTTCCTGGTACACGAGGAGTGTGGCCTTTCGCGAAGTGATATCTATGAAGAGCGTTGGGCTGGGGATGGTGACAGCTGAAGTAGTAGTAAGAAACAAGAAGGAGGTATGAGGTTGAGAGACCAAGGCTTTCTTACTGGCGACGGGAATCAGAAATAGGTTAGCCGTGCCTTAAAAAGCCCGTGAAAGTGGGTACCTACCTACCTGCTAGGCAACAAGGCAGGGTGATAATGCACCTCAGTCCTAGCCTGTACATAGTACCTATGATGCAGGGAATATACTCCAAAACCCAAGGACAATGCTGCATAATGCAGACAAAATATCGAAACTGAACAAGGAACCTCCCCGGTGATAACAAAATCCGACACATAATGTTAAGCGAAAGTCGATTCATTCTGCGTCATGAGAGCCCGTCAAGGGGAGCTTAACCTATACCTTAAGTTGTGTGTCAAGGAGGTAGCTGAAGTAGAATATATGGAAGCTACGGCCTAGTACTATTAGATTAACAATCCAAAATTGAGTAGATGGAAAAAGCATGTTCTGGTATTTGTATGGATAAATCGAAATTCAATGTTGATGTACTACTGTTATCTCACACGCTCTGTCTAACGTATTTGGGTTCCCTATGTTGTCTGCCTCAGCATGCCTACCTACCCTAGACTCAACAGGTAGTGAGGCGTTTCCCAAGCAGTTAACTTTCATATTTATACGTTATTAGTTTGCTATGCCTTGGTGGCTCTAGCTACCTAGCATGAGGAGTGTTTATTCACTATTAAGAAATGAATAAGGGAGATAGCATTTCTTAGGAAGCGAACTTTATTGGGGTCTGTTGCATGTGTTACTCACATCTGCTTAGATGTTAGGGAAAATGAGGAAATGCGACTCGAGCTTTTCTTTGCGTGGTGTGGTGGCGGCATACTAAGAGCCAGCAAACAGCTTTTTAGATGGACTGAACGACGCGTTTACAAGGCATTTACATGAGCTCACAATACTATCATCGTTGTGCTCTGAGGAGTCAATTGAACATCATTCGGCGCCTGCTTGATACCATGAATTCTAAGCACACCACCAGCAAAGATCTTGAAGTCTCCGGCATCAAGCGTTCTGCGTCGTATCTTCTGGGCCATTTGATAGAATTTATATCCTCAAGGCCATGTTGAAACGACAGGCAAGCGATGTTCTCACAACACGAAAACAGCCAAAGAAACATCGCGATAGTATATTTGGTCATACATATTGCAGAATGGGTACACCAGCGAGGAAAAGCGTCATAGATAACCAAATGTATATAGCGCTCCTTAAGCAATCTTCTTTCAGTAAAAAAACTGTGTCATTGAGTTGCTACATGGGGAGAAGCATGGCAAAGCCTACACTTTAGAGGATGAAGCGAGGAAGCTCTCCAACATGGGATTGTATGGAGGAGGATCAACCAGAGGAATTGTTCAGCAAGCCGGAAAAACTCTACTCAGTGTGATCAACCCATTGCTGAGAGCC